TGTATCTAAGAGTCTGAACCGTTCTCCATCTATCCTTCTTCCTCTCAGTCTAGTATGAGGTTACGAGAGGAACGCGGCATGCGGGATTGTAACCCGTAGGACCGCGCCAAGGCCTCTGTGGGAGGTTCGTCCCACCGATTGCGTGAGCTCTGCCGAAGCCCAGGCGGGGTTTTGGAGGCAGGGAACTTCAGGTATAATTTCGTTTAACACGTGTGATCCCTTTCCCTACTTGCTATCCCCTGGTTATATGAATGTGTACATGGAAGGCTATTACTTTTTGCTTGTTATGTATGTCAGGACATGCATTTTAAAAGGTAAATTGACAAGTATATAAGAGAGTTCAGATGAACTTGACTAGAGTCAGAAAAAATGAACAGGGGGCATGTGGAATGAAGGTGGTTTGTATGCTTTGACCGGGTCAACCCAAGGTTGAGCTCCTCTAAGTTGATGTGGGCTCAGTGCTGTGTTTTATTCATGTTTGTTGGGCTGAGTGTATGATTTTGAGGGTTGGGCCTATCCTAAGTTGGACGGACCAGGCGCTGTTTTTTTTTGGGGTTTCTGGACAGGAGGATGGGCACCCTAAGTTGGGAGGTCTCTGAATCTTGGTGTTTCTTTAGTGGGTTGCTGACAAGAGAGTTGGGAATACTCTAAGTTGCGTGGACTCAGTCCTGTGTGTGTTTTTTTCTAAGGGAGACACAGGCATGAGGCCGAGCGTACCCATAAGTTAGGGCGGCTCAGTCATAAGTCATGAACACAAGGGTCAGCTACAAGTTTACAATCTTGATATATATTATATGATCCTATATCATCTGGCAGACCGGGCACATTAGGTTGGGAAAGTCAGTCAGTAAGTCAGGTAGAACAAGAAGAGGAGAAAAGCTATGAAGAATATAATGAAGGTAACTAGGGCAGGCTGAGCGTACCCTTAAGTTAGGACGGCTCGGTCCTATGCTCATGACAAGACAAAGGAGCAGAGAGTTAGTATAAACTTGTTTTATTTTCCACTTTTCAACAGAAGGCAATATTGGATGTCTCCCTAAGTTGGGTAGGTCTAATCATCTGCCTAATAAGAGAGAAACATACGAAGTTTGTGCAAGTATCAATGGTTGTTCTCATATATTTGTCATTACGGAGGCTAAGCGTACCCTCATGTTAGGGCGGCTTAGTCATACGTCATTTGTACTTTGTTCAGGCAGATTCTGTCTTATGTACCTAAACTGTTTAAGCTAGCTAGGTGTACCCTTAAGTTAGGGCAGCCTAGTGATATGCTCTTGTCGTTGCTGTTATGTAGGTTGGACATACCCTTACGTTAGGGCGGTCTGACCATTCGTCGTTCGTGCTTGTTTTAGGCAGGTTAGACACACCCCTAAGTTGGGGCAGCCTAATCCTATGCCCTATGTAACTTTGTGTAAGGCTGGCTAGACATACCCTTAAGTTAGGGCAGTCTAGTCTTATGCTTCATTTCGTCAGTTTAAACAGAAGTCAGCCGTACCTTTAAGTTTGGGCGGTCTAGTGATATGTTTTATGACTAGAGTTTATCTGGAGTTGGGCATACCCTTAAATTAGTACCGTCCAGTTGTGCGTACTCTTACTTGTTTACTTAGGCAACTTGGGCATACCCTTAAGTTAGGGGCTTGTGTGATCCTATGACATAAGCGAGGGGGCTTTTGAAAAGGGAAGAACTGAATGATCTAACGAATTACTTGGGCAAATTGATGCGAGATTGTGAGAGATGTATGTGTATGCATGCTTGTGGGCTCTCACTTGGGGCGTCTCTTCGATAGGGTAGCTGCTTTAGAAGCTTGCCAAGTCCTAGAGCCATAGCTAGACTAGATGGATGATGGGAGGGAAAACTTGGGGTGAAGGTAGGACTGACACGGCTAGGAGTTAGGACCAATGCTGACCCTCAGTCCCATCCAGAGGTTGTGTTGGCCACAATTGATCCTGGATCGTTAAGCAGGTGTCAAAAGTTAGCCCCAAGTGTAGTTTGCTTTGTCTTTTCATCTTCCAGCTTCGTATCAATCTTGGCATCCTCCTGTTCCTACAGGAAGCGCTGCCGAAATTTCTACAAATCTGGAGGAGTTAGTCATTTTTGGGCTCATAGAAATTCTGAAAAGACACTTTTCCTACGGGAAGCGCTGCCGAAAATTCGCAGAATTTGGGGAGTTAGAATATTTTTCAGGTCCGTTCTGATTAGAGGATATTCTCAGTGACTTGGTACTAGTATAGGAGCTAGGATACAACTAGGGGGAATGTTTTCCCATTGGCACAGGCATAAGTAGTACTTTTCTTTGACCTGTACTGTGGTGCAGGCTTCCGTGTTATCATTTGAAAGCTTGGTCTGATCAGGCTGTTTCGTCAACAGGATCATTCTTATGTTATCACTGATAACAGGTCAGTGACCGATTCGTCGATTTACAACTCAACCCCAATTCACCCTCAATACTCAACCTAAAAAGGCTTTAGCCCTGGTGATTTGATTGTTTTGTTGAGGTTTCACCCAGACTTTTATTGAATGACCATTTAACAAAGGTACTCAGTATTTAATTATGGTTGGTTGGCTGGAGGTTGGGGCTTGCATGGCTAAAGCAAGGGGTTTGAGTAGAGAGGGTGGTTGGAGTTGACTCCGTGTAGTGTGTGGATCTTTGCTTGATTCTCTGATGTGATTGCAGGATTGTATGGAAGAGTCTCATTTGAGTTATGTTGAGTGATCGTGTCTTGGATGCAGATGGGCAAACCACACAACTGTCGTGAGAGTGAACTACCCCACAACCTTTGTGTTTGAGTGAGACTGTTATGTACTTGTCCTGTTGAAATAAGCATATGTTCAGGTAACCCCCACAGGGCTAATCCCGACGGTGCCCTTTCTGTGGATGTTGAGAGCAGTTGTGTTTCATCCCTACTGAAAGTTATTTTGGTGGAACGATAAGGTTCTGGGCGGAAGGGTTAGCGTGTCGCTGATGGTGCGCCAGACAACTCACCACCGCGCCATATTCCTTCCTGCCCTAGGGACCGTCTTACCCCGCACCCTTTTGGACACCTCAGGGTGCAGAAGACAGGGAGGGCCCCAGGCCGGTTTTGCGCCCGCTAAAGGGTTACGTCCCCTAGCGCGCGCTTAAGCCAACGCCTGAGCGTCGGAAATCACCCCACGACTCAGAAGGGGCCATTTGGTATGGACACCACATAATGCGCCGTCATCGCGGATACTCGCGTAAAGCTGCATGGTAAATTGGTATGTGTAGGCCCTGCGTCCGCGAGATCTTATACTAAATTCGTGTGCGCAGCACTTACCGATTCTCGCACTAAAGTTATGGGTCGGACGACGAGAACCATTGCGCGTTATGACTAATAGATTCGGGTTTTTCGGTATCGCGAAGCGACGCATGGGCGAACTACCAGTCCCATTTAACCCATGGGAGTCCGTGTACGGGTCTTCATTACCCCGGACATCGGGTAGCCTATGGGTCTGATTTTTGGGTTCCCTCAGCGCGTGCGTCGTTTGCGTCCGCCTACCCCCTTCATCTTAGGAAGCCACAAAACCGTACGAATAGGGATAAGTTCCTCTTTCGAATTTTCATGGTTGGACGTTGTAGTCCGTGGCAGCCGTCGAAGTCAAACCCCTTGATATTTGACTACCACGACAGCCCTGAAGCTGTGTACTCAACCCCTCTGCATAGGGTGCAGAAGAGGGTGTGGTCGTCAACCGCGCAAGGCGGTTGTCTGGCGTCGAAAGATTACCCCTCAAAGCACCTGTCAGCTGACACTTGAGTGTCGAACACGACCCTCGAGATTATCAAGGGCCGCGAGGCTACGAGTACCACATAGTACCCCATCAGCGCGAGTGCTTGCGTATGCCCGCATGGCTGGTAGATATGAAGAGACCATGTGTTCGCTCGACACCTATACGGAAGTCCGACACGTGATACCTATCTGATTCTTGCCACAAAGTTATGGGTCGGATACTGAAAGGACTAGGAGTATTGTTGTGTTGTGGTGTTGTTTGTAGTGGTTGTTTTGTGTGTTTCCAGGTGTTATGCGTGGTAAGTGTGAGTGTTGTGGCGTAACGCGTGGTGTGTGTGATGCGTCCTAGTCGACCGGCGCCGAGTCGCGTTTGGGACCTCAACCCCCCGAGTACGTCGATTCTCGTGAGAGTTCGATTTTCGGGCGTTCGAGCGCGCGTAAACCCCCTATGCTACAGTGAACGAGAAACGCCATCGGTTGGGTCACCTCTGCAATTGCATACGAAAAGCTCTCGCATGTGGTTCAGTAGCTCGGCAGGGATACGCCCACCTAAGGGATGGTGACAGCTCCCGCAGGTGGAGGTAAGCGGTGCCTCGCGTGACCCTGTTCTGTCGTAGGGGCTCGCGAGAGGTTTGGCTGGCGCATCGGCCGGAGCGAAAAAACGCTCTCCGCGACAAGTCCTGCATAATCCTGCGTGACGCGGTCGGGAGGCTCCCCGTGCGGGACCGATGCGCTCGACAGGTGGCGCTGTTGCCGGGGATCTGGGCTGCGTACTGGGGTCCTTAAGAGAACGAACCCAGGTTAAGTGCAGGCTGATGATCTAGGCAAAACGACAAGAGTTATAGGTTGGATTGGCTTATATAAGAGGGTTGTATATGAAGTTATAATAAGATTGAGCGATATATATTGCGACTAAAGGTTGTATCTTGGGCGTGAATGACTAATGGTAGAGCGGTTAGCTAAACTTAGAATTAGAGTAGTCAAGAATGATGTAGGGCAAACCCTCTGAAACTTGACGAACTGCTTACCGGTCTGTCCCTTGTTACTCCTGTCAGGTTGGTTAGCAAAAAGAGGTGAAGATGCCAGACGTCGATGGAATCGAGCGGGGTCCGGCCGCTACGCCAGAAGATTTTGTCAAGGCACTCGAGAAAAGGGAGTTGGCACGGCTACAAGTGCTAAAAATCGACATCTTCCATTTTGAAGGGGAGAGGGTATCGAAATGGCCGGAGCTCCTGAAACAGGTTACAGCCGAGGTGCCTGAGGTAGATAAGTTCAAGTTCCTACCTCGATATATCTAGTGGGAAATCCGGTGTGAGATAATGAAAGTAGCTGCTGAAGCAGGGGGAAACTGGGCAAAGTTCAAGGCTGAGATGCAAAGGCTATTCAAGTTAGGGGATGGCTTGCTGACTAAGATAGATTTGAAGATACTACAGCAGGACGAATTCTCCACAGTAGGGGTCTTCGCCATTGCATTCGAGAAGATGGCAAAGAAAGTCCCAGGGTTAGCGGAAGAGGAACAGTGTGCCACTTTCCTAGGGCACTTTAAGAATTGGGAGGCCTCGTCGTTAACCATGAAGGCTGCGCCAGGAAAGAAACTGACTTGGGCCGCCATAAAGGAAGGCGTGATAGAAGGAGAACTGGACCAAGTAGACATTTTTCAGATGAGACAAGCCAGGAAGAAGAGGAAGGCTTTGGATGCCACCACGAGTGATGGACGTGATTTTAAGAAAATGATAGAGGACGCGATGGCCCAGCTTGACGCAGAGAAGGAGGCGAAAAAAAAAACTATGGCGGCACCACTGGCCCAAGGGAAAGCCAAGAAGGCAGTGGTGCAGGAGGAAGAAGAAGAGGAAGAGGAAGAGGAGCCTGAGCCACATAAGTTGACAAAGGCTCAGAGGAAGGCAAGGAACCTGGCTCAGGGGGGGCAAAGCTCAGGAAGGGGTCAGGTCCCGCAAGTTGTAGTCATACCACCTCCTGAGCCGCCCAGTCAGGTTGCACCAGCACACTATGGGCCATGGCCAGGTTGTGGACCTTCAAGTCACTGGCATGGGCATTGCTCATATGCACCATGGTCGATGAGTGGGCCGCATGGATCATGTGTCGGACCGCTGATGAGCACGGCTTCCTGCGGCTGCCCGAGACCCCAAGCTCATCAAGTGAGCCACCCAAACCCACCGCCGAGCTAACCCCAACAGTCAGCCCCACAAGGTTCACAAGGCAATCAAGGCAGCGGACGTGGACAAAACTAAGGATGGGGCCGAGGGCGAGGACGTGGTGACCGAGGAGGAAACGGCAGAGGGAATGGTGATGGTAACGCTACAGGCGGGGAAAACGGGGACTCGACTGCATCCGGAAGTCAGGGTGGTCAAGAAGGTGGAAGGGGTACTGACAGAGGTACAATAGACTGAAGGAATGCTATTTGTTGGCACTGCGTGCAGAAAGGCCACACTATCAAGTCATGCCACGTCAGGAGGAATGATGAGGACAAAGGATTAATCAGCACCAACTATGACGGGGATATTTACGACAAATGGGGGTATTACCTTGACCCGAGAACCCCAGGCGGGACAAGGAAGGAAGCCCTGCGAAGAGCTGAGGAAGGCGCACCACCCGCTCCTCCGGCCATGTTTCGGATATGGCAGGAGAAAGAGGTCCATAGTGACATCAGGGTGGAAGAGGTAGGAGAGAACGAAGAAGTAGAACAGGAATGGAGAGCTGACACTATCAAGGAAGAACCAATCATAGTAGAATCCGACGATGAAATAGAAGAAAACTGCTGGAACAGGCCGCGACACGTTGAGACAAGGGAGGATTATTGGAGAACGGCGCAACAGACAATGGAAAGAATGGAGGACTTGATAGACAAAGTCGGGCGGTACCAACCGAAGCTGACTGATATGTGTGAAAAAGTCAAGGAGTGGAAAGGCAAGGAACCACTAGTATACCTCTATGATCTAGGTCCAGGGTCGGAAGGAGGATCTGGTAACTTGCCAAACGTCACGACTTCGGGGCCGGCGCCTAGATCCGGAATGACTTACAGACCACCCTCCAGGACGGGGAAGGTGCCACATGTTGTCTGGACAAGGGCTAAAGAGCCGGTGAGCCAGGAAGAACCGGCGAAGGATGTTCCTGAGCCGAGTGGAGAAAATGAGGTAGTGGACGTTCCAGAAGAGCAGGATGATGAAGATGATAGATTGAGAAAAAAAGAGGATGAGAAGGCCAAGCAGAGGGCCAAGAAGAGAGGTGCCAAGCCTGATACAGACAAGGCACATAAAGTAAAGAAGAAGAAGTACGTCGTTCGAGTAGAAGAGAGGTACAATGTAGAGGAAATAATGGACAGAATCCTTAAGGATCATAATCACCTTATAAACCTGAAGGACGTACTAGCCTCATCGCCAAGGCTCAGGGACGAGCTGAGAGCACGACTATCCAAAAAGATGGCGGTCAGTGGGCTATAATCCCCAAAGAGGCTGAGTGGGCCGAGACAGACACGAAAATGGACTGGAAGTCCGTGGCTTGCGGTTGCCTTGATGTGGTCGTGAAAGGGAGGACATGCACAGCGACAATAGATAGTGACGCGGAGATAAACCTCATAAAAGAGGAACACGTTGTGCGTCTAGGGATGGAGGTAGACCGCTTTGACAACGGGGTCTTAATGGGGGCGAACAACCAATCGGTTTTCATTGCGACGGCATCATCAGTGATTCTGGAGATTGGAAAGGTAAAAGTAAAAAGCTATTTTTTCGTGATGCCTGACCTAGACCAACCCATCCTACTGGGTAGGTCATTCCTAAGCCGAACGAAGACGGTCATCCTCAACAAGCATGACGGGACTATGTTCCTCGTCCTGTGTGACCCCGTGTGTGGGAATTATGAGGTTATCACCTGCAAAAACACGGAACCAAGAAGCATAAGGAACCGACCCAACCCCGGTTCATTCATCATTGAAGAATCAGAAGAAGAAAGACTAAGGATTGAAGACAACAGACTTGAGAAGGTAAGAGAGCCGGAAACTCTGACTTTGAGCCTCGCAAACATAGGCGACGCTATGGACATAGTGTCGACCTGTGGTATGGCGGACCCTGAGGCTGTGGAGGCCTTGAGAAAGAAGGTAGTGAAGCAAATGGGCGCAGGGGAGATAGAACTGGTATATCGAACGCCTGGAAAGACAAGTGGGACAAGTGGAGCACAACCCCAAAGTGCAACTCGGTCTTTTTTAGGGGTGGGCTCGAACAAGGTGCACAAAGGCGGTACAAAAGGGTAGATCAAAAGTGCCGCCCTATTCCCGTACTCGTTACCGAAGGCCAAAAAGTATATTACGAGCGGGAACGAGAGCTGATACGGCAGATGCGAGAGAGAGCAAAGAGTGGGCTGTGCCATATCAACCCCGAGACGGAAAAGACGCTGATTATAGGGGAGCCTGACTTTCTTACAACTCAAGAGGAAAAGCTTGTGGTGGAAACCGTAAGAGGAACCCGAGTGGGTCGTTCCTTCAGTGATGATGAGAGGGACCGACTGGACGTGGATATTAATCCCCATGATTAGGATACATACTGTACCTCACGAGCCATGGAACTTGCGAGGCACTCGGTACCCTAATCCAGCCGATGAAGAGATGGAAAAATTCGCACTCATGTGGCAGATTACTCGAGAAGACTGTATGCATCCCCTTGGTTTTGCTTTGACAAACCCAATGAGACTCTGAGGTGGGTACAGAATTTGCAGCGCCTGAACGCTGTGACAGTGAGAGACGCAGGTGGCCTCCCCAACGCCGATGCGTTTTCAGAGGCATGCGCTGGGAGAGCCATTATATCACTCACTGACTTATATTCAGGCTATGATCAGTTTTCTGTGTACCCATCAGACAGATCGATGACGAGTATGCATACCCCTCGAGGGATGATCCACATGAACGTTGCGCCGCAGGGGTGGACGAATGCGGTCGCCATGGTCCAGCGGCACATGGTGAGGGCGATGCAGCCCATAAGTCCTCACATCACGCAGCCTTACATTGATGATCTGGCCGTGAAAGGGCCCAAAGAGAAGGATGAGCAGGAGGTGATGCCAGAAATCAGACACTTCGTCTTGGATCATGTGCAAGACTTGTGCAATGTCCTGGATCTCCTTAAGGAGCATAACCTCACTGCCAGTGGGCCGAAGTCAAGGCATCAGCGGAACTACCATCTTGGAGTTTGTGTGCGACGAGAGGGGTCGTCGGCCAGACACTAAGAAGACTAACAAGATTCTCAAATGGCCGACACCGTTTCAGACCATCACAGAGGTGAGAAGCTTCCTGGGAACGTGTGGCTCTTGGAGGATCTTCATAAAAGAGTTTGCGGCAAAGACGGAGCAGTTACGAAAGCTCGTGCGTCAGGGGCAAGACTGAGAATGAGAAGAAATGCAAGAATCGATAATAGAAAATCTAAAGAAAGAGTTTGAAGAAGAAGGTCTAGTACTGGGAGTACCAGATCATGCGGCGGTAATGACCAGACCTTTCATTGTAGAGACGGATCAGGGCCGACTGCTTTAGGAGGAGTGTTGATCCAGCGAGACCCCAACGGGGAAGAACGACCATTAAGATTCGAGAGTCGGACACTTAATACGTCTGAGAGGAACTACTCTCAGTTCAAGCGTGAAACCTTGGCAGTTCTTCACTATTTGAGGATCTTTAGAAACAACCTCTTCGGTAGCAGGTTCGTACTAAGGGTGGACGCTACGGCATTGGCTGGTTCTCTCAAGAACTTCGCTCCTTCAGATCCAATTATCGCCAGGTGGCTGACGTACATCTGGATGTTCAACTTCGAGTTGGAGCGAATTCTAGGGAATAAGAATAGGGCGGACGGGCTGAGCCGAGTCGACTGGGACAAGAACAATCAAGGAGTGATCGAGGATGCTCCGCCAGTCGACGGGTTCTTGGACAGCGAGGAGGATGTGAGACTTCACATCAACTCCTGGGCATTGGCCGTAGGTAAGTATGTTACTCCTGAACGTCCTGTATGGCTTGCGCCTCCAGGACATGCACGACGACCAGACTTGGTCCTCAAACCCTATATTGAAGAAGATTTTTGGGGAATGTCGAGCGTAAATTGAATGATAAAGCTGGCCTTGCCAGACAAGTACCAACTGCATGAGGACTCGCTTACGATTGAGGATGGGGCACTGCAGGTGGGCAAGCAGGAGAAGACGATAGTTGGGGTGTATCTGCTGGCGAATGCACTGCTTCAAGAAGAGGCAGTCAAAAATACGCTGCTAGATGAGGAAGAGGTGGTGGAGCCGGAAGAAGGCGACCATGTGATCCACGAAAGAGAAGATTATGATTTTGAGGAACGGGAGATTAAGGAAGCGTTTCGAGTAGAGGAGTGCGAGGGAGTATACCTTAAACTCGGAATGTTGTTGTCATGTGAAATGAGGGAAAGAGACGCTTGCGCAAGAGTTCTGAAGATGAGGCCGAGTTTCCTGGTATGAGACGCCCATCTATTTATGCGAAGCAAAGGGAAGGCTCCCAGGAGGGTAGTCTGCGGCGTCGCCCCCCAGATTGACATTATGGCGGCACTGCACGACGGTACGACAGGTGGCCACAGAGGGGCAAATACGACTTACCTCAAAATACACGAGCTATACTATTGAGATGGCATAGGGCAGAGGATCGATGAGTACTGCAAACTTGTGTACCATGCCAGGAGCGGTCCTCGCTTAGGCCAAGAAAACTGCTGCACCCAAGGTACGTTCGGGAAGTTGGGACGGTCGTGCACCTGGATCTGTTAGCAATGCCGCTGGGGATAGGGAGCTACAATTTTATCTTTGATGCAAAGGACAACCTCTCTGGGTTTGTGGATGGCAAGGCCCTTCGCACAAAGACTGGCGAGACGCTGGCTAGATGCATCGAAGAATACTACCTTCGCTATCCCTTCGTTTCGAGGTTTGTGATGGATAGGGGGTCTGAATTCACACGTGCGGAAGTAAAGGCTCCATTAAAGAAGTATGGGGTGATCGCCGAATACACCACTGCAGCGCACCCTCAAGCCAATGCACCTGTGGAGAGAGGACATAGCACCATCACAAATATTCTTGCCAAGTGGACCGATGACAAACCCAATCAGTGGCCGAATGTTCTAAGGGTCGCTTTCTTCGTGGACAATATTACTATCAGGAGAAGCACTGGCTATGCACCGGCTACATTATGGTATGGCACGCACGCCACGTTCCCTATCGAGAACTTCCTGAAAACCTAGAGGCGACAGGACCTCGAGACTGATCTGACCTTTGAGGAACTGGTGGATTTGAGAGCCCGCCAGATCGACACTATTGAGGACAGGATTGAGGAAGCAGCAAGTAGGACAACCGATAGTCGTACCAAGGACAAGTTCCAATGGGATAAGATGGCGATGGTAAGAAAGGAGCCTCTCAAGGTGGGAGAAGTTGTGCTGTTGTATGACTCGTCCCTTGAGAAGCAATGGTCTCGGAAGTTGGATAAGAGGTGGTTGGGACCTTACAGGGTCACCAGATGTGGTGAACATGGTGCCTACCAAATTGAGGAGCTAAATGGGACGACATGGAAGGATTGGGTGTCAGGCTCGAGGCTGAAGAAGTTTGTTGCTCGAGACGAGGTGAGCAGGGATCTCACCACTTAGAGTCATCTCGTGACTACTCAGATACTGTTCTCAGTAGAGTAGCATGGTAGGGTATGATTAGACTCGCGTGTGTGTATGGATATGTATACATATGGGTAGGTAAGTAGTTGGGATAGTTATGGGAGGGTTATGTCTATCCCCTGTTGTGTTTTGGCTGACATCGCTTATCCTCTGGGTGCTCCTGTTTGTCTCCTCCTTGTTGTGCAGGCTTTACACCGCCTGGGGCAGCCATGCCAAGAGGGAGGGGAGGGGCAGGGCCAGTGGAAACCCCCTAGGGTGCAACCCGACAGAGGACGCAGATGAGGACCAGGAGAGAGGACAAGCCTCCAGTCTTCCAAGGAGGGAACATTGAGTTGTTCCTGATGGAGTTCGAGCGACATGCGCGAGAGTTTGGATGGGACAGCACCAGGATGTTGAGAGAGGTGCGAGGCACATTCGAGTGGGCAGACCCTATTGCGAAGATGGTCAAAGAGTCGTTAACCTGGCAGAATTTTGAGCGGAGAATGAAGGGTTTGCATCCATCTCCACTGGGAAGGGATGGACAACCCATTCGATTCAACTTCACTAACCTGGGGGAGTTCCTATGAGCCTATGATCGGTATGCAGATAAGCTCGATATCCCAGGGCAGCAGAGAGTGGGGAGCTTCCTTCTGTTTGTGAGGCACCATATCAGACTTTTTGTTCGATCTATCGTGGCATCTGCCAGGAACTCGGGGCACTGCAAGAAGCTGCTTTGAAACTACTATACTCCAGCTCGTCAGGGAGGTGAGAGGAGAGGCATGAAAAAGAGAAGAAGGGAACCCGAGGCAGAGGAAAGGGGAACCTTTGAGCAAGGCGCGTCATCAGTGACTCAAAGGGATGAGAGGAGGAAGGAACACAAGTCCCACCGGCATGAGAGAGCAAAGGGTCCGGTGGTTCAGATGCACCCCCACAACCTGCTCAAAGGGAGATGGATTGCCCTATACCTGACGCAGAGCCAGACATTCCTCACGAGCCACATGTGCAGGAGCCGAGAGAGGAATAGTCTGCCCAGGAGAAGGAGCTGGACAGAAAAAAAGAGCAGCAAGGGATCAGGAGATCAGAACCCAGCTCAGGATGAAGAACCTGACAGAGGTGCATGAGAGGATGCAGCAAGGAAAGGCACCTGAGGAGGTAGAGGACAGAAAGGATAAAGGTACTTGCACTCAGGAAGAGGACCCTCCTCTGTTTTCAGAGATCTGGATGGGTTTCGACAAGTTGATGGATGCCGCAGGGAGGTCAGGAGAGCATCACCAGTAGATGGGGGTTAAGTTGGTCTCAACAGACCTACTCAACCTACGGGTTTGATGAGAGAAGGCTTCGCTGCGGCCAGAGCTTCAGACCAAAAGATTGGGGACAGGCTGACGAAGGTGGCACAAAAGGCCTATGGCCAGAAAGTGGATTGGGAGAGGGAAGCGAAGAGTTTGGGAAGGCAAGACAAAGAGTTGGAAGTAGTAAAGGCGGAGATGGAGAAGGTTTGGGCTGAGAATGAGACCGCCAGGCAAGTCAATCAAACCCTCAACAGGGTCACTGACGCTCTGAGGGCCTATCTATGCGCCCAACAAATCTCTTTTCAGGCGAAAAAGTCGGAGTGGGAGAAGAGAATTCAAGACCTCGAGGCCAAGTATGCACAACAAGCTCCCACAAGAGTGGTGGATTGGACGGAGGTCCAGAAGTTTGAAATCAAGGAACAACCCGCAGAGGAAGTCTTCAAGAGGGGGAAGGAAGTAGAGAAGGCGGACCAGCAGGAGGGTGAGGAGATCCCGCTGATCGACAAAGAGATGTTGGAGCAGCCAGGAGCACTAGCGGAGAAGGGCGCAGAGGTCGAAGAGTTTGAGTGGCGATTGCCAGCGGGCCTGACACTTGGACATGAGCCAACACTAGAAGGGGAGGAACAACCTGTTGAGGCAATGAGAGTTGAGGAAGGTCCACCTACAACTCAGGGAGAGACGTTGGGACAGCAGGGGGGTCAGGAGAGCGTGGGCCAGACCATGGCTGAGACTGAGCAGAGAGCGGACCTGAAGGATTGTCAGGAGTCAACTATGCCTCAGGAGGTGCCGGTTACTGCAAATTTGCGGGACGCATTGGGATCTTGGGCCACTGAGACAGAGCCAGAGGGGCATGTGGGTGAGCAGGTGATACGAAGAGATGACAGAGCAGCCTGCCCCACTTCCGCAGAGGTCCCCCAACAGGAGGTTACAAGTAGGATCTCGACAGTCCCGTCAGCAGTACCCTCGCTGGAAGGAGAGAAAATATCAAGAAGCTGGGGAAATGTTTCTACTGCAAAAAGGGCAAACATCGGTCTGATGATTGCCACAAGAGCCTCAAGGACGAGGCAAATGGATTGTGTACCAGGGAGTCATCCGGAATGTGGAGAGACAGGAATGTGATCCTAGTTCCTAAGACTCGTGATGGGGTGAGGGCGCAGTTGTATTGGCAGCTGCAGGAGGTCATGAGTGATCAGGAGTAGGATTTTCCAATAAGGTCCGAAAAGGTCTAAGTCTAACATGTGTCAGACATCTCGGACTGTTAATTACTCGTATATAGAGGGATATATGGAGGATTGAATCAGACCCATGTACATCAGTAGGCTGAGCCAATAGTGAAATGTTACATCACATTATAGACTTGAAAACCTTTTTCTGTACATAAGATAACACTGATTTTGACTATTTTTCTTTTTTGCGCTAACGTGTTGTAGAGTGTTAATACCCTTGTAGAATAACGCTCGTGAGTAAGAAGCGACTGTCGAGTTCTGATACTCCGACACTTGGATACCTTGATTTTTTGTTGGTTACCTGAACTCTCTGTATAATACCTTGGGTTCTATAATAAGGGCAAGGACCTTTTTGCTCATTGCGGGGCTCCATGTCCTAGGTGTATATGTGAGTCTCAAACTTCGTCCTTGTGTTGTGTGTGTTGTGTCACACTCACTCTCAGTTGGTGGATTTGCCCATATGGATGATGGTGTGATGAGATGAATATTGTGAAAGGAACTGATCTGCGCTTTCTTCCACTGTACTTACGCCTCCCTGCCCCAATGACAAGTGGAGCCGGAAGTATAAGGGAAGGGAGTGCTCCCAGATTATTGAGAAAGTGATGACAGGATATATTTTTTTCAGATGGAATGATGATAAATGGGAAGATCACAACCAAAGTTGTGTTTTTTGTCTTTGACTCGGAAGAGAGAGAAGGAAGTCCAAGGGCCAATTGAACTTTCTTAGAAGGATGAATTTTGTGAGGGCACTCGAAAGAGATGCTATAAGTAATGATTGTTTGTGTGTATGTAAAAGTCTGACGAGGAAAGGCCATATATTTTGTGAGAATGATGGATGAGAACTTCTAGCAATTGTGATGGAACTTTGAAAAATATTGTGAATATCCCTAAAAAACGTGTGACCTTACCTGCTTTTGATTAAAGTTAGAAAGGTACGACTCTGTGGAGTCACTGAGGATTTTGATGGAATATTGAGAAAGGCACTACCCCTCCACGTAGTCCCTTTGGCGGGGGTATGTAATCCTTTGGTTATTATGAAGGTTTTTGGAAGAAAGTGCCAAACCACAATGGAGTCAGTCTAAGGAACGTATTGTGAGGCCAAGCTGAGGGACTATACTTGCATCGCTGGAACTGTAGAGCCTAACTCCCAGCGAGGGCCGCTGACCGGCACAACCTGGCAGCGGGACCATGGCTTACCAAAGGTTAAGTCTTGAAGGGTCGGCCACCCGGAGAGGTTTAGCTGGAGGGAAGGTCGTTGGGGTCGATTAAGTCAAGAGTCAGGACCCTTCAGGGTGCCGAGATAGGATGAGTTGCTTATTGTTGCATAACCAACGAAGGCACCATCGCTACATAACAACGCGGTGGGCCGTGAATTTGGCGTGATCGACCGATCCATGGTGGGCCAAGATGGAGACCTGAAGCCACCTATATTAGACTCTGAGCTAGGCTTTCGTTGTGGGTTGAGATGGTAAACACTACCATGTGGGCGGCTAAAGGCACCCTGTGTTTTGAGAGGTCTCGATTAGGGCCCGCGTCCTAAGTTATGACCCCGTTCGCGGGACGATGACTAAACAGGACACCCAACAGTGAGCCGGCAGACGTCTACGACGAAGGGAGAGGACTATCAACCTACTACCTAGGAGCGGGTAGTACGGAACAAAGTATCCCCTAGTTTCGAGGCCAGGACGTGGGAGACCCAAGTTAGAAACCTGGCAGTAAGTAGAAAGCCGTGACGGGAGCAGATTGATAAGGCAACCTCGAACGAAGTCGAGCCGGTGAACCGGATTGGTCATTTCCTTGTCAACAAGATGTGGCTGTGTTTATATAGTTGATTGTCCGACGCGACGGGGACGTCGCTTAATAAGGTCCGGAAAACTGTCGGCCCGAATACCCTTACAAGGGTATTTGGGCACATTTTTGCAGCTCACAAGAAGAACGCCTCTGGCGACGTCTAGGGGTGTGTCCCGTTTGTATTGATTAGAGAGTGTGTGAGCGTGCACTTTGCGGGCACGCGTTAGCCTGACCGAGTCTGGGTCGAGGAAGGCCAGGAAATGCCGGTAGGACAAGTGACGGTCAGGCTAGAATCTTTGAGGCGGTCGCAGCCTCGCGCGCACTGGCAAAGCCACGGGCAGGGCGGGGTTGATTAGGTAGGACCATGACTAAAGGAGAATGTGGCCCGACTTAGTGAGAACCAACGGTTTCAAGGTCGCACTGGGTGAAATTTTGCAGGTACTAGGTTAACCACGCATCGTAGACGGCAGGAGCCTCCGCTAGGAACGATGCAGGCTCGAGAGAAGGCCGGGGGTTGACGGCAAGCGACGATAAAAGGGCCGGTTACGACGAACTATGAGAGCCTCGGGCCGCGACCTCAGCATGAAGGGGCGACGGGCGTAGTGAGCCAAGCGGAGCCCAGCCCCAAGGCAGCCAGTATGGCATTACGTAGCCTGAGGCACGGGCAGTAGATCAAACCGATGGCCTGTAGTACGCTGCTGCAGGCCGGCCTAGCGGGCCTTACTCCTTATAGCGAATTTAGCTTGCAGCAGTGACAGGCTGGGGCTTAGCCCCATAGGTTACATCATTGAATTGATACCAGGCGGATCCCGGGATCGAGGCCAGCAGCCAGCAGCGGAGCAGCGCGTCGGAGTGTACCGAGGGGTTAAGGGTCACATGGGACTATCCCCCTTGGTTTTTGCGAGGGTTTCTGACCGCGGGCCCGTAAGGAAGGGCCAAGTTCCAACGGTCCTCTCTCGCACCCGTTTTTTACCAACATTTTTTTTTTTTCTGAGTTATAAAAAATATATGTATTTATATATTTTTTTTCTACTTCTATTTTTTTTCTTTTTTAGTTGGGATAAGGTCCGGTACCAGTACCGGGACCGACGGTATAGCCCAGCGGCCTAGTTCAGTGGAGACACCACTGAACCATTGAAGGGCAGACTGGTGTCTGAGCCCTGATGATGGAACTGCCCCAAGGCAGCAGACCCGACGAGCCTGGGTCTCTGCTCGCGGCTCGGTCCTTCGGGACATCCGTTAAAATTGGAACGTTACAGAGAAGATTAGCATGACCCCTTCGTAGATATATCGAGTTAAAACCGAGGTGCAGCTCGGTGTTGTTGCTGCGGTGGCACTCGATGAGCTTCCATTGCTATGTGCACTCTCGACCCAGCGGATCGCTGGGTGCTGCGCTATAAGGGAAACAACAAGTGTGGCGTGAGCCTGACTGCTGAGCTGCGCCATGTGCATTTAGGCGAGGAGCAGGACATAAGGGGATGGACAAAGGTGAAAGCAGACGGAGATGAGATGGGAGTATAGGAAGAGAGAGAGGGAATAAAGAAGGGAGAGAGGTAACAGGAGAGCGCAACACCAAGTGAAGGGCAGCAACAGAAACGATAGGAAAAAGGAGGGATGAACCTGGACGTGGTTTCGCGCCAGGTACATTCGAAGAAGGAGGGGAAAGATAACAGCGGGGCTAGAGACTATGGTGGACGGAGAATCTATGGCAGACTCGTTTCTTAATCGAGACTTGATAAGGGAAGGTGACACCTGGGGATTTGAGGCTGGGAGGACTAAGTAGTGTTGGTGGATTGAGGAAACAAGTAGTGAAAAGGGTAGGAGACAAGAAAAGTAGTGCGCGAAGGTGACGGGGTGTTGGATATGGCCGACTCGGAAAAGGCAGATCTCGCCCGTTCCTCAACGAAACGGGCGAGTGAAGACTTGAAGCGGGGGTTTTGAGGTGCTACGGACCTATTGGCCGCATTAGATCTTTGGATCGAGCAACAAATAAGTCAGTACGAGCAGAGCAGACTGCGGGGGCACTATAGGAGAATTCAAAGAAAGAGGAGATACCTTCCCCAGTTCTAAATGAAGATTCGTTCTCAAACCGAATTGTTATGGGCAGCTGAGCAAGGTCAAGAGCGAGGTATTTCGCTCGGCGAATGACCAGGATTCCATTTGCTGCTGTGACGAGCAGGGCATAAGCACCTATACACTAAAGATGGGGAGTGGGGTTGAAAAAGAGAGAGAGCGAGGTACTCACTTGGCGGGAGTGAAACGTCCGACAGACGAGCATCTTGCCCTGTCCTAGTAGAGGTTTCACTCTCACTTTGCCCAAGTTCGGGCGTAGAGACAACATCAGCACTCTTCTGTGTTCCAGCGGAAGGTTCATTCCTGCCTGGCATATCCTGTCGGAGAGAGAGACAAGGAGGGAGAATTGCACGTTGGGGAGAGGTAGCGGGCGCAACGGGAGTCAGGAAGATCTATGGCTGTCCGGAGTCACCTAGTAGCCAGCACGGTACCTGTCCGTGCACTAGTGGTATATTCATTCGTGATTTGCACATTTACGCCGTAGCGGAGCGGGGTCCATGGCCACGAAATGCTGTTGTCATCATCATTATGCCCGGAGGTCTCTGAAACCTGTCGTCCAAGTCACTGTTTGTGCCAGGTGTACAAGTTATATTGATACAGGCTGCTGCTACCTTGGGTTGCTGCCGATTTACCGTTTATTTTAGCAAGAGATCCTATCTCATAATGCACAGTTAGGGAGTAGTATAGTAGAGTCACTGTTGTGTCGTGCATAATCCCACTCAGGTTACCACGGTTATTCCCTCTATCGCCGTTGTAATTGCCTCCCTTGGTATAGTGGTGTCTCCGTTGTAGAAGGGGAAACGATTGAAACCGGTTAGGATTCAGGCCAGATACATGCCGAGAAGGGGGGACATCGCAGGGGGGAGAGAGACAAGTACAAGGGAAGAGGAGGTCGAACGGAGGAGGATAGAAGGAGGGGCTGCAGAATACAGAGGGTAACCAGGGGGAGATGCTTACTTGGCCGAAACTGTAGTTGGCCGTGCTCAGACATTCACTAGTGTAAGAAAACCCTCAGACGTGCAAGGGGAATACCGCTGCCCTTAAAAGATTACGTTGCTTAGTTGCAGGGTGAAGCATCTACTTCCCAATTTCAGGGCCAAATCCTCATGTCCAACCAAATTCAAGCAAAGGACCTTGTCAGGTGAGGAGTTTCGTTGGGGCAGCTCGCCTCGTAGAGGGTAGCATAGGTGTCTGGAGATGAGCTTAGAAAAAGAAAAAAAAAAAAACATAACATCATAAGTCTGATCCGGAGCAGAAGAGTAGGCCCAACTAGGCTAATGTGACAGGCTGCACCCTCTTATGGTATGAGGCAACAAAGTTGCATGATTCCGCAATTATTGTGAAACTTGCACTTGACAATTGTTATAAATACCGGTATTTCTTCAAGTTTAAATTGAGCTTTGGGTGATCTGATGGTCTAGTCATCTGATGGGTTGATCTAGGTGGGCTAGGTGCTTGGTCTTTGCCGCTCACAAAGAAGTGTTGCTGGATGAGCTAATGTTACAGTGAATAGTTATTACCGTTGACTAGATTCCTGATTGATTATGGTATTTCCAACCAGCATATCGCTGCGTTCGTACGCCAAGACAGTTGGTGCTGGTGCCTTCGGTTCGAGCTGACTAGTACTGTTGTCACCATCGTCTAAAACCATGGTCAGTCACACCCCTTGACTTTCGACACGTGTTGTTGCTGGCGGCGTTATTGCTGTGCACGCTAGGCTGAGGGTAGTAGTACTGCAGGTTAGACACAGTGCGGTTGGAACAATTATTAACGTGGTGTTGTGTTTCCATTACTACCGTGCTACGTCGACGCGTTTGCTTGGAGTTGTGCGCAGTTGCTATGCAGATAGCACCCTGCTGAGCATGGAGCTATGTGACGTGGAGCATCACTATACATTGTCACCTTATCTAATTGTTGTGTGTGCTGCCACCTGTGTTGTCGTTCGAAGTTACCATCTTGGCCACACGCCAGGCCTACCAAAAGACCGACCGTTGTTATGTTGGAACTATCGCTGCCTCTTCGGTCTGGCACTACTGTTGACCTGAGACTGCTGACTGCTGTATCACGTCTGAGCAAACCACCATTTCTGATGCGCGGTGCGTCTCAAAATTGACTGCATTTTCTACAAGGGTCACTGCTACATTGTGTTGAGCGGTAACTGTGCCTAACTTGGGATACGGGGACTACCTTGGTTGGATTGAAGGACGCGGTGCCACTTCATCTGGGCAAGTTTTTTTGCGAATCACTTTTGACCTGTTCGGGATAGGAGTGTGGTATGGCGGGATGATGGATCTGCAACGAAATAGTTGGTGTTGAAAGTTGACTGTTGCTGCCTAAAAGTTGAGCTACTGCTATAGAARGACCCRGCCTGTTATAGCAACCATGGCTGCTTCGTAATGGGGTCGTCAGTTCGAAGATTGCCGGCAAGTGCTGATTGAGGCAGATCACTGTACATCGCACTGTGCTGGGCAGCTGCTGGGTTGCCCACGGCGGGTACTATATTGCTAACCGGCTGTTGTTGCTCCTGCTTCCCGGTAGCAGCCTTAGGACTGTACTCCCTTGTGTTCCTAAGCAATCTTGGGTGTGCTGGTGGCTACCACAGATAGCTGTTGTGCGCATCATATATTGCTGCTGGGTCGGGTGGCCACAGCACAAGGACGGTGTGTCGCTGTGTCTTTAAGGGGCGACTACATTGTCACTGTGGGGCATCAACTACGGGTTCAGAGGGAAGAACAGACCCAGCGTGGGACTACTGCTTTAACGTGGAGGGCGCTGGACCTCATTCTGTGCTAACCGCTGAGCGGTGCTACAGGACCCTGATACCATGCACAGGCTATGGTTGAGGACTGGGCACTAACTATTATTGTTGCGGTTGGCCACCGGTGTGTGTTGTGACAGCCCTGGGTGCTGCTGCTGTAGGAGGCAACACTGTTCGCTATATGTCGTCGCTATGCGTTGCAGCTGTGCTGGCTTGCTACAGTATGCATCTGAATAGAGCACCGGGATGTGCTCTATTCAAAACACAGTCCGGTCTAGGTTGTAGGGATACGGTTCGGGTGGAGGAAAGTACTGTAGCGTTGAGGGTAAGGTCAGGTTCGGTAGAGGGGCCGCTGCTGCGACTTGGAGGGCGGTCAAGGGACTGTGAACATTGCATCCGGCCGAGAGTTGGACTGGTTGCTACTGCGTTTTTTCCTGGCCATCATTGCGGGGCCCTCAGGCGCATCAAGGTAACAAGGCCCTCTCCAGTGAGGTTGAACGCAACCCTCTTCTATTTGAGAGTCTGAACCTTTCTCCATCTATCCTTCTTCCTCTTAGTCTAGTCTGAGGTTACGAGAGGAAGGCGGCAGACGGAATTGCAACCAGTGGGACCGCGGAGGTTCGTCCCACCGATTGCGGGAGCTCTGCCAGAGTCCAGGCGGGGTTTTGGAGGCAGGGAACTTCAGGTATAATTTCGTTTAACGCGTGTGATTCATTCT